TAGTTAAAGAAGTTTCAACAAACTATGGTATAGATCCAGAATATTGTTCTATCCTGAAGGTACTGAACAGCCAATCTAATATCTTGAGGACCAAGAATTTCCGTACAGTACAGATATCCCCAAATGACCCCTTTTTGCTGAGTAGACAGTCGGACGTTACTTCATAAGAGGCATGGCGAGTTTTTTGAAGTTGTATTTTTTTGTCATAATTTTTCGAAAATGAAAAAATAAAAAATATTATTTTCACTATTTTTTTTTTTACATACTGTCACCAGTGCAGTACAGCGTCATCATATAACTGGCATGGCGGTTGAACAGGGACACTGACTGGTGACAGTATGAAAAAAAAAAAAATTATATTTTTTTTTAATTTTTTTTTTATTTTTTTATTATATTTAATTTTTTATTACATTTTTTTTTTATTTTTTTTAAGATTTTTTTTTCATATTTTACTATGACCAAAATAGTACAATGTTACCATAGTAACATTGTAACTTTTTTGGGGAAGTGATCAGTATTTTTTTTTTTTTTTTTTTTTTTTACACAATTTGCTTATAGCAAAGAATTACTTTGCTATAAGCAAGCATTTAGCTGAATGAAATCGATTCATTCAGCTTTTTTTTTTTTTTTTTTTTTTTTTTGTGCTTAGCTGTGATTTGGTCACAGCTAATCACATGACCATGTGCATGTGATTAGCTGTGACCATTCACAGCTAGGCACTAGTATACAATGGATGGCATCATGAATGAAGCCATCCATTGTATACAACTGTCATGTGACCTGCTGTGATTGGTCGCGGCAGGTCACATGGTACCGGCAACGGGAGCCGGTACTCGGATCTGTCATCGGCCGTGTCCGAGGTGCACGGGCGGTGACAGATCCCGCTGCTGCGCCGCTCTGCAATAGCGCAAACGGCGCATGTGCGGGAGCACGCCAAATGGCGTGGACCCGGAAAGCTGCAGCGCTTTTCAAGCCGCCAAAACGGCTATTGGCCGGGCGGCTAATGGTTAAACAGGGCAGTTCAGCTCAAACAAGGGCAGTTCAGCTCAAACAAGGCAGTTCAGCTCAAACAAGGCAGTTCAACTCAAACAAGGCAGTTATGCTCAACGGCAATTCAGATTAAACAAGTTCAGCAGTTCAGATTGAACAAGGCAGTTCAGATTAAACCACTAGCCTACAGGGCACTTATACCCCCTTCCTGCCAGGCCAATTTCCAGCTTCCAGCGCTGTCGCACTTTGAATGACAATTGCGCAGTCATGCAACACTTTACCCATATGAAATTTTTATCATTTTTTTGTGACAGAGCTTTCTTTTGGTGGTATTTAATCACCTCAGAGTTTTTTTTATTTTTTCTTAAACAAACCAAAAACCACTGAAAATTTTGAAAAAAAAAAAATGTTTTTTTTCTTAGTTTTTGTTAAAAAATGTTGTAAATAAGTGATTTTTCTCCTTCACTGATGTGCGCTAATGAGGCTGCACTGATGGACACTGATAGGTGGCACTGATGGGCATTGACAGGCATCACTGATAGGCACTGAAAGGCAGCACTGATACATGGCACTGTTAGGCGGCACTGACTGGCACTTATAGGTTGCACTGACTGGCAGCACTGATAGGTGGTACTGATTGGCATTGATAGGTGGCACTGACTGGCACTGATGGATGACACTGAAAGGCAGGTCATATGGGCACTGATATGTGGCATTGATGTGGCACTGATAGGCACTGGCATGTGGCACTGATCGACACAGACAGCTGGCACTGCTGGGGCTACACTGATCATCAGTAACCTTGATGAGCAGTGTACATGTCCCCTCCGTGGAAAGCCGATTATCGGCTCTCCTCTCCTCTCAAGCTGTCAGCGTGACAGCTCGAGAGGAGAGAGAAATGCCGATAAAACCGCCATTTCTGTGTTTACATGTGATCAGCTGTGATTGGACACAGCTGATCACATGATCGAGCCAACATCTTCGGCTCTTTCCGTGATCGGTGATCCACTGTGTCCGAGGCTCCCTGAGCCACGCATGCGCGCGGTGAGAATTGGAGGACGTCAATTATGACGTCCTCTTCAGAAAGAGAGAACCACCTTGCACCCATCATTGGACTATATGGCGGGCGGGAGTTGGTTAAACAAGGCAGTTCAGCTCAAAGGCAGTTCATATTAAACAAGGCAGTTTAGCTCAACGGCAGTTCAGCTCAATGGCAGTTCACATAAAACACGGCAGTTCACATCAAACACGGCAGTTCACATGGGGGGACTTCATATGACGTCCTCCCATTCTCACTGCGCATGCGCGGCTAAGGGAGCGTGCAGTGCAGCGATCGGCGGTGCGATGTGTCCCTCGGATCACCAATCACGGAAAGAGCTGAAAGATGTCGGCTCGGTCATGTGATCAGCTGTGTCCAATCACAGCTAATCACATGTAAACAGGGAAATGCCGGTTATCGGCATTTCTCTCCTGTCAAGCTGTCACGCTTGACAGCTCGAGAGGAGAGGACAGCCGGTAATCGGCTTTCCGCGGAGGGGACATGTACAACTGATCATCAGGGCACTGATGATCAGTGTGCCCTGATGATCAGTGCCACCTGTCAGTGTCCATCAGTGCCTTATGTCAGTGCCTTGTACCAGTGTCACATCAATGCCACATATCAGTGCCCATCTGAGCTGCCTTTCAGTGTCCCACGTATCAGTGCCAGTTCAGTGCGCCGCTATCAGTGCGCGTCAGTGCCGCCTATCAGTGCTGCCTATCAGTGCCCATCAGTGATGCCCTGTCAATGCCCATCAGTGCCACCTACCAGTGCCTCCTCATCAGTGCAGCCTATCAGTGCCCATCAGTGCAGCCTCATTAGCGGCACATCAGTGAGGAGGAAAAATCACTTATTTACAAAATTTTGTAACAAAAACTAAGAAAAAACAATTTTTTTTTCAAAATTTTCAGTGGTTTTTGGTTTAAGAAAAAATAAAAAAAACCCAGAGGTGATTAAATACCACCAAAATAAAGCTCTATCTGTCACAAAAAAAATGATGAAAATTTCATATGGGTACAATGTTGCATGACCTGCGCCGCAATTGTCATTCAAAGTCGCGACAGCGCTGAAAGCTGGAAATTGGCCTGGGCAGGAAGGGGGTATAAGTGCCCTGTAGGCTAGCGGTTTTCAACAAGGCAGTTCACATTAAACAAAGGCCATTCAGATTAAACAGACCCCACAACCAAGCCCATGCAAGCCTGCCGTTGTCCCTACCTGAGAGCCGTCGGGGGTCCCTGTATGTTGATCGCTGGTCGTCCTGCTGGAAACGCCGAGTGCCCGTGAGGTTCCCTGTCTGCTGATCGCTGGTCATCCCTGGAACGCCAAGTGCCGTGAGGTTGAGTAGGCGTGGCCTATGTTTCTTGCCTGAACAGCCTTGGAGTCCCCGCCCCCTCCCCCACGCTGCAGCGGACGGGGAGGAATTTCGGTTATGATCGCCGTCCTCATCATCGATGAGCAGCGTCGGAGCTGAGAAGGTTTGTGGGTGGGATCCTGGCGGAGCCCAGGCGACCCGCAGCACTCGCTCTAGATCCCCCATGTTTTTTCTTATGTACCTTATTAAAAAAGGGCGACTCGGCTTCCGTAAGTTCCCGCCCCTTCCTGTAGTGACTTGTCGCTTTCTTCTCTCTAAGCGGCCGCACGCATTGATGTAGGAAGACAATGAAAGTGGGGCGCGATTTGTTTTCTTACACGGAGCGCACCCAAAACCCAACCGCCCTGTAGTTTGGCCAATCGCAAATTGAGCCTCGAGCTCAGCTTTCACGCCACGCACCTGATTGGCTGCCTCTCAAGCTGAACTTAGATCATCAAGCCCCGCCCCCTTTTCAGCCCCATATCAGCTTTGAGTAGGCGTGGCACTTCCCATGAGGCATTGCTCCTCACACACTTCACATGTTTTCAGACACTTTCTGACATTGTATGGACAGTACTGAGCTGTACGTGTGCTGCACTGTGTATATTGACATGCATGGACGGCGTACTGAGCTGTACGTGTTGCTGCACTGTGTATAGTGACATGCATGGACAGTGTACTGAGCTGTTGACGTTTACGATGCTGCATTGTGTAAAGTGCACAGTGTCAGAATGTCCGCCGCAAGTCCCGCTATAAGTCGCTGAATCGCCGCCATTACTAGTTTAAAAAACCATGTGTGGAGGGGTGTGGCCGGCCTAAGTGTACATTGCATTGGATGTGTGTGTGGTGTGTTGATGATTGGAGCCATGTTGCTTTCCCAGGAAAAAAATTCCTCTGTAGCACACGGACTAGGACAACGTCTTTCTGTTAGTTTCGTGTGTCCCCATTCACAAAGCATCATTCAGCGTGCCGCTTCCTATTTCCTGGCTTTAACCACTTGCCTGCCGGGGGCGCTTTACCCCCTCCCCCCTTACCAATGTTCAGCTTTCAGCGCCCGCCATACTTTCACAATTGTGCGGGTCATGCAACACTGGACCCAAACTACTTTTTTATCATTTTTTTTTAGACCGAGCTTTCTTTTGGTGGTATTTTATTCACCACTGGGGGTTTTTATTTTTTGATAAACTAAAAAAGACCACACATTTTGAGGGAAAAAATCGTTTTTCTTATTTCTATTAAAATGTTTTGTAAACAAGTAATTTTTTTCTCCTTCACTGATGGGCACTGTTAGGTGGCACTGATTCAACTGTTGGGACTATTGGCTGCACTGATGGGGCTACACTAATCACCAGGACACGGATTATCAGTGCCCTGATGATCAGTGTAGATGTTCCCCTGCGACATGCCGCATACCAGCTCTCCTCATGCGCTGTCAGCGGAAGGAGAGGACTACTGATAACCACCATTTCCTATTTACCCGGGTGATCAGCTGTGATTGGACGCAACTGGTCGCATGGTAAAAAGCATCTGTGATTTGGCGCCCAATTCCTTAGTCATGTGATCAGCTGTGTCCAAAGGACACAGCGATCACAGATCGTGGCGCGCGGGGTTGTGGATCTGGGTGGATGTCCATGGATGCCCTCCCAGAACTACCCAACCGCGCTGTAGCTGTTTTTTGCTATAGCATGGTTAGGGAACTGGTTAATATCATGCCCAGCTTTCCCTTCTATGGAAACAAAACCAACGTGCCCTTCGGAAGATTTACCCCCAACCCCTCACCCAATCCTGCTCAGGCCATTGTTTGCTATACGGCACTGCAAATACTTTCATATGGGTACAGTGTTGCATGACTGCAAAATTGTCAAAGTGTGACAACGCTGCAAAGCTGAAAAATGGGCCCATGGGCAGGAAGTGGGCATAAGTGCCCAGTAGACAAGTGGTTAATTTTTTTACTATACTAGTAATGGCGGACATCAGCGACTTTTGGTGGGCATCTCTGGCACTGGGTGAGAACAACTGCCACTGACATTTCCATGACACTAATACAGAAACCAATGCTAATAAAAAGCACTAATACATGGGCAGGAAGGGGTTAATATCCGGGCGATCAAAGGGTTAGCTGTGTACTGTTTTGTGGCTTACTATGTGTTGTTTTTATTAGGGGCCGTGCTGGTTTTTATCTCCCTGCTTTTGAAAATGGGACTGCCTGTTTGCTGGATGGGGACTGTCTCTGTGCTGGATTTTGGGGAAGTGTCTCTCTGCTGGATTGGGCCATCTCTTTGCGGGATGTAATGAAATTGCCATGTGAAGGAAGGTAGGGTGAACATTAGGGTGGCCAAATCACAGCTAAGCACAAAAAAAAAAAAAAAAAAATAATCCCTGAATGAATCGATGTCATTCAGGTAAATGCTTGCTTATAGCAAAGTAATTCTTTGCTATAAGCAAATTGTGTAAAAAAATAAAAATAAAAAAATTACTGATCACTTCCCCAAATAAGTACAGTGTTACTAAAGTCATAGTGAAAATATATAAAAAAAAAAATCTTAAAAAAAAAAGAAAAAAAAAAATTAATAAAAAAAATATATATATTTTTATTTTTTTTTTTATACTGTCACCATCCAGTGTCCCTGATTACCGCCATAGCCAGTTATATGATGACGCTGTTTACTGCACTGGTGACAGTATGTAAAAAAAAAAAATAGTGAAACTGGAAAATTGGCCTGGGCAGAAAAGGGGATAGGTGCCCCCACCTCCCCCCTTAGGCTAGCGGTTTTAACAAATACACGCCCTGGCCAATAGCCCAAAAGGCGGCCGGCAAAATCTATTGGATTTCCCGGGTTGGACGCAACTTTTCGCACTTGCAGAGCCACGCGTGATCTGTCACGAGCGGCGTGATCTGTCACCAGCCATTGTATACTACTGTCTAGCTGTGAATGGTCACAGCGATCACATCGAGGCTGTGACATGTCCTGTGATAGCTGTGGCCAAATCACAGCTAAGCACAAAAAAAAAAAAAACCCCTGAATGAATCGATGTCATTCAGGTAAAAAGTCCTTGCTATAAGCAAATTGTGTAAAAAAAAAAAAAAAATACTGTTCACTTCCCCAAAAGTAGTAAACAATGTTACTTTGAAAAAAAATCTTAAAAAAGAAAAAAAAATTAATAAAAAATTATAAAAAAAGATATATATATTTTTTTTCATACTGTCAACCAGTCAGTGTCCCTGATCACCGCCATGCCAGTTATATGAAGATGCTGTACTGCACTGGTGACAGTATGTAAAAAAAAAATAGTGAAAATAATTTTTTGGCATTTTTTCATTTTCCGAAAAATGACAAAAAAAATACAACTTCAAAAACCTCACCATGGTCTCTTATAAAGTACGTCGGACTGTCTACTCTGCAAAAAAAGGGGTCATTTGGGGGATATCTGTACTGTTCTGACCTTGGACCTCAAGAAATTAGGGATTGCCGTCAGTACTTCAGGATTGATCAATATTCAGATCTATACCATAGTTTGTGAACTCTATAACTTTCCTACAAACTAAAAATACATCCTAATTTGGGTTATTTTCACCAAAGACATGTAGTAGAATACATCTCGGCCTAAATTTATGAAGGAATAATTATTTATTTGCAAACTTTTATAACAGAAACCAAAGAAAAACGTGGGTTTTTTTTTTCAAACTTTTTTTGATAATTTAGCAATAAATTAAAAAACTCGGCGGTGATTAAATACCACCAAAAGAAAGCTCTAGTTGTGTGAAGAAAATGATAAAATTTTTAGTTTGGGTACAATGTTGTATGACCGCGCAAATTGTCATTCAAAGTGTGAGAGCGTTTGAAACCTGAAAAATGGCCTGGGCAGGAAGGGGGAAAATTGCCCGGTATTCAAATGGTTTTTAAACAAGGCAGTTCACATATAAACCCGACCCCCCACAGCCAAGACCCTGCAAGCGCCTGCCGTGTCCCTACCTGAGAGCCGGTGGGTGTCCATGTCTGCTGATCGCTGGTGTCCCTAGGAACGCCGAGTGTCGTGAGGTGAGTAGGCATGGCCTGTGTTTTCTTGCCTTAACAGCCATGGAGTCCCCGCCCCTCCTCCACGCTGCAACTGACAGGGCAGGAATTTCTCTATGATCATCCAACACAAACTGCCTGTAGTTGGCCAATCGCAGTACTGAGCCTTCAAGAGCTCAGCTTTCGCACACGCACCTGATTGGCTGCATCTCAAGCCAAACGTAGATGTCAAGTGTAGACCACATCCTTTTCATGCCGCCTATCAGCTTTGAGTAGGCTATGGGCTATGTTTTCTAACCTTAATTAAAAATTTAAAAATACCTTAACAGCCATGGTAGTCCCGCCCCCATCCACGCTGCAGCCGACAGGGAGGAATTTCTGTGGCCGTAGGTTCACCAAACACAACACGCCTGTAGTTGGCCAATCGCAGACTGAGCCTAAAGAGCTCAGCTTTCGCACCACGCACCTGATTGGCTGCATCTCAAGCCAAAGTTAGATTAACCCCTGCCCCCTTTTTATCCTGCCGCCTTTCAGCTTTGAGTGGGCCTATGGGCTAT